TACCTACCTACCTACCTACCTACCTACCTACCTACCTACCTAGCTACCTAGCTACCTAGCTACCTAGCTACCTAGCTACCTACCTACCTACCTACCTACCTGCCTACCTACCTACCTGCCTACCTACCTGCCTACCTGCCTACATACCTACCTACCTACCTACCTACCTACCTACCTACCTACCTACATACATACATACATACATACATATACCTACGCACGTAGATACATACATTACAGACATCCATATGTTACATGGTTACATAGATTAGATCCAGAGTCTCTTCATACACAGCTGTTCCATGGGGTTAAGACAGATCCAAGCTGTCCCGGTACTGGCCTCCGGTGACCCAGGTCTTGGAGCCGTGGATCAAATCCAAGTAACCTCGAGATGAAGACTTCGAGGCCTCTAATCTGCAGGGCCTTCGTTCATGATTCGCATATGATATTAATATGGTTTAGGGACCCTTCATTCATGATTCGTATATGATATTAATATGGTCTAGGGACTTTTGGAGTTTGGGGGGGGTCTTCCGCTGTAAGGCTACTATACTCATAAGACAGACATGGCTAAGGAATCATGTAGATCGTTACCCGGGCTTCTTTAGTAGGCTTTTTTGCACAGGGTTGTTGGCTCAGCGTCTACTTCCAGGTGTGAGAACTAGGGTTTAGGGTGTTGAAGGTTGGACTAGGGCTTAGATTCGGGTCTGTATTTTCAGACTGCCCGTTTTCACTTGAGGTAGGGCCACCTCGAGCACAGACTTAGGGTCAAATCGAAACATCGTGCTGAAAGCATCGGTCAAGAGCCATCTCAGGCTCCACAGCATGCCGGGGCCTATGCAGACTTTTGATGCCGAGAAACTTAGACAAGGGGGTCGGGGATCATTGTGCACACAATGAACTTAGGAGTTCCAGTGGGCGCTTGGTTGCACTGGCAAGACTCAGCTGAGGATATTCTCGAGTGGGGTTCGATTTGGGACAAAGCCCTAGACCTGTTAAGTCCTAAACAAGAGCATCACAGTTTCGAGAGGATGCTCTAATCTACACTTGACGAGCACAGCCGACCCGACCACGCCGACGTTTTTGGAGGTCACGGGGCTCCACGGGTTTACTTGGAGCTTCCGAGGGTTTCCAGGTGAAGCGAAATCCGGAGTTTGCAGATTCCTTGCCCCTCGAAGGAAAGCAGCTGCTGCTGCACATCTCCAGACTGCAAGTCCCAGTTTTTTAGTTGCCTTCGCCGTCAAACCCCGCCAACAACTCGAATGTAGGGGCCTTAATAATTAGAATAGTGTTCCGGGCTCCGTTTTTCGGTGTGATTATAGTAAGGAGCCCTAGGAAATTGCATTGGTAGTTCTTTCGGCTTCTACATTATCTCATCTCAAGTCAAGTCCCGGTGGCTCTTTTGAGCAAGAAGGTGCTCACCACGGAGCGACTGCAGGCAGCAGTTCCTCATGTGGTCCTCTTGTTTCTCTGTTGTGCTTCGGACTCCATAGCAGATGACAGAGAAAGGGTTGCACTATTTGCGGAACTGCACGAAAAATAAGGTAAGACTGGGTAAGATACTGTAGTCTAGAGCCTGTGGCGGGCACTCGGCACTTCAGTTGAAGTCGGCCTTCCTATTTGCTGGGACTGAAACCAAGCAACAAGCCCTGAAGCCGCGGCCACAAGGTTTCTGGGACCGACGATTCAGGCATTATTTTACGGTTGGGATTTAAGGCCAAGGGTTTTCAAAAAAGGGCTTGTGGGGCCTCCTAGACGGCTTCTAGGAACCTGAATTCTAGTTTCGGGGCTGATAACCAGGTGCCACTTCGGCGTCCTCCTCCTTTTCGTCCAAGGCCTCGCCAAGTGGGCTTAGGGTTTACGGGAAATGTGGGTCGTAGAGCTTTTGCGGCTCAGGGTCTATCTTGCTTGCAAGGTCCAGGCTTCGGTGGCCACATCTGTTGCCAATGCTGTAGCGTACTGGCTGCTTCGTGCAGGGAGTGCCAGAGGGCAAAACATCCATATCTTAATTGGAGGTCCCCCGATGGCCTCACAGCCTGACATCTAACCTCGAACAGCCCCCAAATGACAAGACTTCTGGCAGCAACTGCTGGCTTCCAGCTCTTAACCCTCAACCCCTAAACCCAAGACCCCACTCTGCAACGCCTAAGCCAAAACCATACTTAGGGGCTGAGTACCCTAGCCCAAAAGAGGCTAACCTTTTGAGTTATACTAGGATTATATAAACCCCAAAAGGTTCAAGGTTATCTACTCAGCTACTAACCCTAAACCCTAAAAATGCTAAACCCTAAAAACCCCTAAAAACCCTAAACCCTAAAACACCTAAACCCTAAAACCCCAAAACCAAAAACCCCCCAAAACCCAAAACCCAAAACCCAAACACCCAAAACCCTAAAACCCTCAAACCCCTAAACCCCTAAATCCTCAAAACACGGTCGCCTTGGCTGAGGCCAAATCCACGAGAGGCTGCAGGGAGCTGAGATCCGGCACTGCCTCTGCAGCTCCTTTGGGGTGAGGGTTTAGGGTTTAGGGTTTAGGGCTTAGGGCTTAGGGCTTAGGGTTTAGGGTTTAGGGTTTAGGGTTTAGGGTTGGTGAGACAGGGGTTTTGGGGTTTTAGCACTCACAACTGGGACAAGCCGGGCTATGTAAATTCGTAAATGGGTTTGGGGTTTAGGGTGTAAGGCTTAGGGGCTTGAGGTGTAGGTTTTGTTGGGTTTAGGGCCTTTGCTTGAAGTAAGTTGTTTAGGGTTTCGGGGTTTAGGATTTTGGGTGTTTCGGGTTTTGGGGTTTAGGTTTACATTACATTGGGCACGGAAACTCAACTAGGGGTATGGCCGGCTCTGTTTGCTACTGAACAGTCTAGGCGGCCTTCGTGCTCAAGCCTGTGCTTTTGGGGGAGGCTCGTGGTGTTTTGGTTTAGGGTTTAGGGTTTAGGAGCTTAGTGTTTAAGGGTTTAGGGTTTGGTGATTGTTTTCAGGCATTGAGTTCCGAGTTCGGGTTTCCTTTACCACCCCAAAAAGGGGGTGTGTCAGGCAATGGGCCGTCTGGTGGAGAAGTTGGCTCGGTAAAGGCCTTCGTAGCTTCCCGTGACGGCGATGCAAAACTCGTGGAATGGATGTCCGGGCTTTTGGAACTTTCGGACTTGAGCTTCCAGGACTTGAAGGATCACTGGCTTCAGGTTCTGGTGCTCCTAGCAACATCGGAGTTCAAATCTTCGTAGATGTTAGGCCTGGACTTCAAAGCCGTGGGAGATAGTTCTCATCATGGACGATTGAGAGAAATGTGCCGTAGTACTGTAGAACCGTGTACATGCAAGAATCATGATGATGCTCACCGATGCTCCTTCGTTGGCCCTTTCATCGAAGTCATTGCCCTGAGATGAACTCAATCTCCTCTGTCACTGCCCTTTTACACAGGCTTGATTGGAGCTCGCCCGGCCAATGTCACTGCCCTAAACCCCTCAACCCTAAACCCTAAACCCGAAGCCTTGAATTCCTGGAGACGCTCGCTCCTTGGGCGCCCTTCTTCCATGCCCGGTGGACGACCAAGATATACCGCCGAATCAGCTCAGCGGTGGTTTTCAAGTCCTCCCGGCAGCACACAACTTTTCATACTGACTACAAGCAAATGCCATCCCAGCATCCGCATCCTACCTCAACTAAACAGAAGCTTTTTCCCGACGCCCTGATTACTCGTAGACCCTGGGTCTTAAACTAATATGCATGCATCAGTCAGAGTCTCAGGCCGCGGAGATCTAAACATCTATCCGCAAGAGCCTCTGCGGCCTCCACGCTTCTCCTCTGCTGACATGTCTCGAAACGCACGTATGAACCACGCCACTACTCCAGCTGCATTGCAGAATCCTAAAACTAGAGGTGGACATTAAACGCAAAGTTGAGGCTTGAGGTTTGGGGTTTACGACAGTGATAGTTGAAAGGTAGACCTTAAAGGTCGTGCTTCTAGAAATACGAAGTATAACTATAAGGCCTTTCGTCATGAGCAACAGTATACGGCACCGGCATCACTACCACCGTCATCATAGCCTTTCCGAAAAGAAAGTATAAGCTGAGTAAACAGCACGGAATACAAGGGTGCTCGCGCACTTGGAACAATTCTCGTGCTCAAGACATTTTGTCCTCAGAGGCCGCCAGAAGCTCACCCACCGTCTCCTGAAAATACGGAAATTCCACCGCGGAGGCACAAGGGCTTAACTGTAGTACGCCCTAAAAACTGGGCTTGGGGGTGGATTGTAGTGGAATTATATAAGGACTACAATGGGATGCTAACAGTCATTCTTCAGACTCCTACGGTAGAAGCACTGGAAGCTTAGAAGCTTGCGAATCAGTTTTTCAAGCTTCGAACCCTCAGCACACCCTCAGCACTCCTACTTTTTGCAGTCAACACAACCTAAAACCCTAAACTCTAATAGATCTAAACCCGAAACCCTAAACCAAAACCCTAAACCCTAAACTCGTCCCTTCAGCCTGGGCAGCTGTAGCTTTCCGGTGAAATCGCCGCCAAAACCCGTACAACTACTATGACGACGACTGCTACGAATGCTACTAGTGCACTTATGTTCGGAGTATGTTCCTAAGCGCAGGCCAATGCAGTCACAGAGAGAGAGATAGACAAAGCGAGACAGAGAGAGAGAGAGAGAGAGCGAGGCTGGGAGAGAGAAGAAAGATAATATTGAAAAAGAGGAAAACCACCGAAATCCCAATCTCGCTGCGATCCGAAGGCGTTTGACCCTGAATGCTGGCCAGGCACACGGTGGCCAGCTGAGGCTGTCAGGGAAAGGACTTCTTCTGTAGCAGCATCCTCGGCTTGGATGGTGCCGAAATAGGAAAGGAGCCCAGAGAGCCCAATACCCCTTAATTAAGGAATATACCTTAAACCATAATATTCAGGCCCCTATAATTTAAGGTATATTCCTTATTTAAGGGGTATTGGGTTCTCTGGGAAGCTCTATTTCTGCATGCGAGGATCCAGCACTACGGTTGATGATATAAATCCTGTATTACCCATAATGAGGAATATACAAGAATTCCCATCGTTTAGGGTCCCTGAGGTAATGCAGGATTTATGTCATCAACAGTATTACTGGTAGCAACAATGCCGTCTGTACAGCGGATATAGTGTGAAACCGTGGCACACTTCACATCTGCATGATGGCGATTATGATGGTCATCGTCACTACGTCCAGCCCACGTGGAAATGCCTCGGCAACCCGACACCTCCAGTCTTTCCCAAGTTTCGAAGGCTTGCAGAATGCAGACGTGTCCTTAGCAGTGCCGTGATGCCTCACCAATGTGAAGATAAGGATCGCCAGGGGTTGGCTGGGAGCTCCCAGCTTTCGGGGCGGCAGCCTTCTTCGGCCTCATTCTCCGCACAAAACGCCCAACCCTCGCATTTCCAAGCCCAGGGATGGAAACTCCGGCTCTAAAACTCGAGACTCTGAGCCGACTCTGGCTCTAAAATAACTCGATGTATTGTAATTATTCTAACGCTGCTCAAAGACCGGTCAGAACTTTCGATTCATCTACCGTAAGTCTGCAAAAAAAGACCGGTAGGAACTTTCGAAGAAGCAATGTAAGGGACCCCTGCGTCCCTTGACAAGGTCTCTCCAAGCAGCGCGGGCGCATCCGAGGACTCGGAGTCGGATGGGGTCTTCTTCCGCTTCCTCGGCTCGGAGCGGAGGTCTCGTTTCGTTGTCCCGGTTTAGGGTTTAGGGTTTAGGGGGTTTAGGGTTTAAGGTTTAGGGTTTAGGGGGTTAGGGGGTTAGGGGGTTTAGGGGGTTTAGGGTTTAGGGGGTTTAGGGTTTAGGGGGTTTAGGGTTTAGGGGGTTAAGGGCTTAGGGTTTAGGGGGTTTAGGGTTTAGGGTTCCGTGTCAAGACAGTGCAAGATGGAAGCTAGGCGCGGGTTTTGCCTGACATGGCCTTGGGGGCTACTCTGCAAGACCACAGAAAGAGCAGGCCCGATCATAGATGGAGCACGTCCGGCAGAAATGCGAGAAGACAGCCTATGTGCCGTGCTGCCAAGCATCTTCTTGGTTGAAAAGGAATCGAAGGAGAAGAATGCCATGAGGTGTGTTGGGCGACGCTGGCTGTTGAGTCGAAAGAACGTCACACAGTCGAAGGCAATGCCATCTTCAGGTCAACTATCAGTACCTATGCGGTTGCGGCGAGCAGCGAGACAGGTCGACTGGAATGGCAACTGACAAGTCGTGAATAGACACAAACCGCAAAGTCGCAAGTTGTATACACGCCGATGAACACGCACATCCAAGAACACATGAATGCCTGCATGTATGCAGATTATTTTCGTCTATGCCTGTCGGTATTGATGCAGCTGTGAGTACTGGTGGCGGCACTCCTCTGCAAATAACACAGATGCACACACGCGCGTGCATGTGCACTTGCAAAGATTTGGGCCTGAACTGCGGTTTGAAGTGCAGGCTTGAACATTCACGGACTGCGTCAAGCCCGCAGACCATGTGTTGAACATGGTAAGCAGGTGAACATGGATCCTACATGATGGAACTGATTCTCTCCGTGTCCTAGAAGGATCTGAGCCCACGGCCATAAAGCTTGTCCACGTCCACAGTTGCATCCATTAAGAGGCTTGCGAACTGCAGCAGGGCAAGATAGAGAAAATGACTCTACAATGGAGCTTTGTGGGGTCTCCGATGGCAAGGGAGAGAGTTGCTAATTTCCCGGTCTGCTGAAGCATGTGTGTGTATACAGGCATGGACTATGGCACTAGCTACTTGCGAATGGCAAGACGGGTCGCACGACAACAATCGAACACTTTACATGATGTCCCACGAAAGAGACATGATCAACCGGATGCATGGCAAAGTCCCGCACAAAAACAATAAGTTATAGAAGCATTCTCGATCGAAATGAACATCCCTTAGTAACAAAGTCCACTCACTTAACAAGGAGTCGCGTAGCAAAGCAGGGATTTCACTTTGTGAAACCCTCAACCTGCGTTCGAAAAAGCTGAACCCTGAATTCCTTAATGCCCAGATCCGTAAGCCCTTAGCCCTTGTAAACCCCATAATTCTCCGAAAATCGCAAATCCTGTAAAACCCGATAGAGCCACGTAAAATCCTATACTTGGAACACTCGAAACCATGGTTTTTTCAACTCGAGACAGCCCAATTTGGCAACGCCTGGCACCATCGAACCACCCGCTCGTTGGGTCCTGCGACCACATCCTGTCATGAAGGATAGGATTCAAGCTTGCGGCTGTAGTTTTTGTTCAGAGAGATTTAGGCTTTGGGGTTTCGGTTTAGGGCTTCAGGGTTTAAGTTTAGGGTTGGTGTTTTTGAGTTTCGGGGTTCAGGGGAGACTGTCATAGCTGCTGCTTAGAGAGTATAGTCCTTGCGTTTTTAATGAAGCTCATTGAGGCAAGTCTCCGCAAAAGTACTTGCAAGACTTCCAGAGCCGCGCTCTTGAGGGACCCCAATTATGCTTATCGGGGTCACTGTGTAGAACGAATTCGGATTACAGCATTGAGCTTAAGGCTCTGAGTTTAGGGCCTGAGTAGCGAGGGGCATGTAGGTGGTTGGACACTCGGCTCTTCAGCAACTGCAGCGCAAGTTGCGAGCCTATGGCACTTCAAGGTTTCAGAGGTTGCGGTGCTGCACTGAAGCAATTCAGTTTTTGTGATGAAAGAAGTGGGCACCACCTTCCTTTGCCTAAGAAGCGCTGAACCGCTAATTAGCAGTCCTGGTCACAGCACATGAGCATTGTACCATTCCCAATGCAAAACCCCCCCCTCAGCCCCGGGAACTACCGAGAGTCTAACAGCACCCAGAAACGACAAAACGACTTCACCAGAATGGCAGCCACAAGTCACTGTGAGACACCGCACGTTAAACATGTACGAACAGTATACAGCCAGCTCATAACAGTTCTTCGACCACCACCAACCATGAACAGCCAGCAGCTGATGCGCCTCCCCAAAGTCACGCACTTAGACTCTACCTGAAAAGACATTGCCCAGGTTCCATCAGTTCCATCATCCCTTTCTCTCTCCCATCTGGGTTCCCGTTTCCGCACCCTAGACCTACTTTTCTTTCAAGTTGCAGAACTATTTCATGCCACCCTTCAAACCTCTGCCGGCCCCACGTAGCGCATGAGCTCCACGCCGTTGGTTTCGGGTGGGTTCCAGGCAATCGTCACGTCCCGGCTGGTCGTCGAACTGGGCGCTTCGGGGTTCAGGAAGTGAACTTTCATTAGTTCAGCCACGGCTTAGCGTTTAGCGACTTATCAAAATACATACTGTATCTATTCCCGTATTCTCCCACAGTCGAAGACATAACAGCACTCCATGAATGCCAGGATCTTGTCGTAGCTCCTAGATTATAGTCGGAACCCAGAAACATGACCTACCCATGCAGGAGTGTGGAGCGAACAAGGCTGAGGCAGAGCGAGTTGTTGGACATTTTCACATCTTAGTTCATCTTAGTTCACAGCGGGGCTTTCAAGGAAGCCCTAGTGCCCAAACTACCGAGGGGGGGCATATCTCAAAAATGCAGAAATCCTGTAGCCTACTCCCCCTGACCTCAGAACCGGTTCGTCAGTGCAAGTATCGGGGCCAACATGAGACAACCCTTCAGGTTATAAAGGGGACAGCGGAGGAGAGATGGCCTTGCGTCATTGTCAATGATTCCTCTGTTTTCGAGGCAACAGCACAGTGTTTTCTCATTTCCGGTGATCGGACAACTATATCATAACGTAACTGTTGCTTTACTAAAATACAAGGAGACTCAAAGTTTAATAATAATGATAACAATAATCTTCAATCAATAGGATTCCCATGAATGAGACCCTTCAGCTTCTGCCGATAGCGCCGTCTGAGCTCAGCGCTCGGACTCTTCCCACAAGTCCGTCAACTGAGCCGGTTTGGAGTTCTTGGTGCTGAACTTGGTGACCTGCACCGCGACGGCGTCGAGTTTTTTTGGCGCAGGGCTGAAAGGGTGGAAGCACGTTTCGCGGGTACAGGCTCATAGTGTGGGAGTCTGTGAGAACTAAGGGGCATGAAAGGAAACCCCTTCGCAATGTAGGGGCCTTGATAATTAGAATGTGGATTTTGAGGGTTCCTTATCGTAATTATAGTATAGTATACCCACAAACCCTATTGAAATTACTAAGGCCCCTAT